CCTGTGGCTTTTGCTGGTACTTTTAATAGCTGTGGTGTGGTAGGAAGTAGGCCCCTAGTTCCCTTGGCAACAAGTAGGGTAGACGCGATACACAGAAATCTGAATCATCAGTGAATCATCTGAGGATTTCTGTTTCCAATCCTTGGAAATAATTTACTGATTGTTCTGATCTATGTGTTGTTTGCTGACTCCAAGTGAGCACGTGGAAAGCATAAGAGTTTACTTTGGTCAATCATTTAAGAAACATTCGCTCCAAGTGGACCTTAATACTGATATCCAAAAAACAGTTTGTTTTGTTTTGTTTTATTAAGTTTAACACTCACATTTGAGGAGCACAAATTGGCACATCAAGGCATCAGCAGTGGGGAAGTTACCCTTCTACAAAGAAATCCAATGTCCCCAGCAGGATGTTTTGGGACCTCACCACATGTAAACTAAATTTTTCTTTCTGTCAAAGAAAGGTGATCTCTCTACAGCTCGATGTTAGTACCAGAGAAAATTTTCATACACTTGAAAAGAGAAGTGAAATGGCTCACACCTGAAACGCCTGTGTGCAGACACACACATGTGAATACACAATCCCCACCTGAGACTTCTGGACATGATTTGCTCAGTTTCTCCTGCTATTTTTTTCCCCACTCATACATCTCTTGTATGATCCCCTTATCTCCATTTTTGTTGTTAATACCTTATTTCAATTTACCACTTTGTCTTCTTGACTCAGACTATCCTTTACTTAATTCTTTGTGCAGACAGAAAAATAACTTCCCCTAAAAATACTTCTTTCTCGTGGCAGCATCCAATCAAAACTCATTTATGGTTCAATGGCTTCTTGAGGACCATGGCTTATTTATCATTGTATTTGAAGCTTACATCTGGTGGTATCTGACCCATAGAGGATGTTCAATAAATGTTTATTGAATGATTTGTAATTATTGTGGTATTTTTGCTTTTATGACTCCCACATTAGACCTAAATCTACTTGTTAACAGGCCTGATGTCATGTTTTTGTATGCTCCTAGCATGGTCTCCACGTTCAACCAACATTTATTGAAACAGTGAATGCAATTCAAATCCTGGGAAATCATGAATACACATTGTTGTCTCCTCTACCTAGGTGACCTTATTTCCCTACTTTCCTGGGAGGTGTGTGTTTGTACCAGTCAAGATCCATTAAATCATTCAGGCCATTTCCCACAGATGAATGCCACCATTCTCCCCACCTACTTAAGTTCCTTCCTCTTTCAAGGCCCAGCCCCCCTCATTGTATTCACAAGTGGAGAGACTTCTTGATTCCTCCAGCCCTCCCAGATCTCATGTTATTCCAACTCTTCCTATCAATGGCTTTTATTCAAATGTTTTCCCTAATGTATTCATCTATTGTTTGCCTCCTGGGAGATGTCACCTATTTCCTAATACTTGGCATTTCCCACACATTGATGGCACTAACCACCTTCATCTCTCTTTAGAGGATCAGAACTTGATGTTGTATAAGCTATTCAGTCTCAAAAATCTTACAAAGTTGGTTCATATTGTTACAATTTGTAGGTGAGTTAATTGTATTTGTTTTGGTTAGAATGAGTCTTTTTGCTTTTAGAGATATATATTAAAATACTTATGGATGAAATGATGTGTGGTTTCAAATGTATTTCAAAACAATACAGGAGGAAATAAAAAGGAGTCACACTCTTCTATGTACTATATGTTAGAAATGTTTTATAATACAGACTTCTTAAAACTTAATTCATTGTCTCCCTCTCTTATCCCCTTTAGCCATTTTAAACCTGATCCTCCTTTGCTTAAAAGCATCATTTCCCCTCTATTCCTGTCCCAACCTTCTGGGACATTCTGTAGAGGGTGGAGAGCAGAGACTGACATGTGAAACCAAGTCTGTTTAACTGCTCATGAGATCAGTGCTCAAATAGAAGAGAGTGGTATCAAGCCAAGTAGTTAAAAACATTTTTTTTTAAACAAAAGTTAAATTCTGAAAGAAAACAGGAGAACTGAGAGTTACCCTCCACCCTACCATGTCCCCAGTTTTGTGATTCTCTATATACATGACAGGAGAAACATCCAAAATCAAGGGTCATGTTGTGTCCTTTGCTTGAACTATCCTTCCCTTCTCTTAACTACTTAGAAATGACCTACTCAAGCTTCATTTGAGACTGTTCAACCATCCCTTACTGTAGCTCCCCCTGGACTCTTTCTCCCATAGACAGAATTAAATGCTTCCTCATCAATATCCATACAACATTATACTTGCTTCCTTTTTTTCTCCACCTCTGTGGAGTACAGTTTTTAGTTATGGATGTCCTTTGGGCATTGCACTACTCTGGAGAGGGAACTCAGACCATCTTCCCCAGAGTCTAAGCTCTGTCTTCCTCTCCTCGGTTCCCCTGTTAGCACAGTGCCTTAAAAAGAGTGGATGTTTGATGAAAGGTGAAAATTGATTCAGAGAGAATTAAATTTTTTTTAGTATATGTTACTCCTCTTTTCTGCTAATATTCATATACTGGAAGTCTCCTTTTCTAATCTCCCCACCCAAAAGTGCTCCTTCCTCCTCTGATTTCACCAAACTTTTTTTCCTCTCACAACATGTATCATGATCTGCTTTGGTTTGGGTATCTTATCTCCTTTGCTGTCCATGACTTGTGAGAACAGTGACCATACCCTTTCCTCCTGCTACTCTCTACAGAACGTGCTCAGGGTTTGGTTCCTAAGTATATTTGAAAGATTTGTCGAATTAGATATTTAAGTAGAAAAGACCTGGGAAGAGTCTTGGTTTTGAGACTGGGAAGAGTCTTGGTTTTGACTTGAGATCAGCTGAACTGACTATCTGATGTCCCTCACTTGCTTAAATAATTTCATGAGCTTCATTATTTATAGAAGGAATAAAAAACAGCCCCAATTCACAAGACTCAATCATTCTTTAAGGCTTCCAGAATGATGCAGCATATGCTACCCATTGACTCAGTTGCTGCTCATAAAAGCACAACAGTGGAGGGTTTGCATCGCCACTTCAGAGTTGAGCAAACTGAAGCTACGTGAGCGACAGGTTCAAGAATAGAGCTCAGAGTTTGATTCCAAGACTTTTAAATCCGACTCCAGTGTCCGTCCTATCCACACCACAGGTTCCTGTGTGTAAATGATAGCAGATTGAGTTCCTCTAATATGTCTTACCCATTACAGGTCTTTTGAGAAGCATTACAACATAGAGAGCTAGGAGGAAACCTCTGTTGCCAGGCTGTGTTTCGATCCTGGCTCTACTGAGCCACATGACCTTGGGCCAGCCAGCAGTCACTCTGGAAAGGGAAAAATGTGCTTTATAAAGTGGAGCACTGTGCTTAGTGAGGGAAACTCAGATGCGCTGCTATAGATGCTTCTTTCCTTCTAATATGCTTACTCTCTGCCTCAGTTTCCACATCAGTAAATTAAGGAGGCTAATAATCCCTATGTGATAAGGTTATGCAGAAGATTAGAGGAGTTAATAATTCGCATAAAGCATGTAAAAAAACAGTTCCTGGCACATAGAAAGCACTATATGTAATGGTTTGTTTTGTCACTACTTTGATCACTTATTTTAAAATACAGCATGTGCAATACATTTTGTACAGTATGAAAGGCAAAAATATTAAGTGACTTTTTGGGGTCAAGTTTTGAGACCAGTCCCAAGATATTTGTGGCATTAGCATCTAAAATCTCTTTCATATTCTCTACAACTTTTCCAAACATACTTAGTTTGCAAAATCAGATTGGACATTGTACAGGAATAGCTTTTCTCATAATATTCCAGTACTTTTAGTTCTATTCCAGCTGGAGCTGGAAATACTGTTGCATGCAGAAATTTAAAAGTATGTGAAAACAACACGATCCCAATCTTATTTTTTTTACTCATTTTCAGGAAAATTGATGGTTCACATGTGAAATATAAGCAAAATTGCTAGTTATTTGTTATCACCAGAGTAAAAATTAGTCACCTTCTCACCATCTTGGGAGCTATTCTGGTGTGTGGTTGTAAAAGAAAAACTAGAAAAATTATTAAAAATATGATGTATTTAATCATTGACCCTTTAAATATCAGTTATGTACTCTCTTATGTCAGGCAGTATTCTAGAAAAAGGACTCACAGCCTATGTCCTGCAGAGGAAGCTTACTTACAGGTGTGAGAAGACAGAAAAATAAGTAAACAAATAAAATAATTACAGATTTTATGGTGGGAATTATGGAAGAAATGTACAGGGTGATAGCTACTAGATTAGTAGACATGTGGAGAGAGAGCATTAGGGTGATATGTGAAGGTTTGAGCAGAAACCCGAAAGACCAGAAGGCACAGAATTTGGTGACATGATATTATGAAAAGCAGAGTATAGAAATATCAACCATAGAGAGTTAAATTACCAACAGTATTTTTTTGTGTGTGGCTCACCTTACATGCATATATTTTTCCCACCAGTAAATGTGATTTGGTTTAAAGGTAGTTAAAATAGCTTAGACAAAGGTCAGCTGTTACCCACAATGCATATTTCTTTCTCTCTTCCCTTTTAATATACAAGTAATACTCATTATAAAAAAATTTGGAAAATAAAAATTATAAATAAAATTTACCCACAATTCAAAAACTTAAATGCAAATGTTACAAATATGTTAGTCCATTCCTAAAGCAGAGTTTTAAAAAAATTCTGTTTGTGGTTATCTAACCTCTGTGAAATGAGGTTAAATAAAGTAGGTAGCCCACTCTGATTAGAAAAAAGAGAAGCAGAAGCAGAGGTCATGTTGATATTCAGAGTTCACATGGTAATAAGCATGTTTTGGTTTAAAAATTAGAATTGATCACAAAAAAATGTTGTAGTGGTCAGGTCAATAGGGACAGGTAAATGTTTTGATTTCAAATATTGTCAAATCTTATCTCCCTAAGCAACTGAGCAAACAAACAAACAAACCAAAAATGCTATAGTCCCACCCCATTTTGGAAGTAGTAGCCTTGAAGGTAAGGGACCATTGAGAAACTAGCCTCATTCTCATAAACAGAAGCTGGAGTGGGAGGTGACAGTGGTGGCAGTGAAATTGGTGGCCTGGACCTGCCATAGTCCCAGCTGAGCCCCAGTCAATGAGAAGACCACACTGGTGAATATCTTACTCATTCCACACCATTTGAGACTGAGTTTCTTCTTACCTGTCAACATATTTTCTTCCTTCTCCTCCCTCTCCTTCTCGCAGATGGATGAGCCTAGAGGTTACAGCCTGCTTTTCAAGGTGATAATGAACTCACAGACTTCAGTACCACCTTCTGCTGGACAGTGTCAGGTTTGTGCTTTAGGGGAAGAGTACACAATACTTTCTCCACTTATAATAAACAAAGAAATAGAAAATAAAGGTGCAGCAGCAGTGAAGTCTTCAAACAAGAAGAGCCCATGCATAGCCACTGAAAAAAGAATATACTGATTTAGAGAATCTTCCCCTGGGAACCAGGGATGGGAAACTAGAAGAGAAATGATTGGGCTATTGTTAATTTTTTTCTTATTTTTCACTTTACACAATAAGGAGATTTTCACTTTTTCAGTACCTACTGTCAAAAAACAAATTAGGCTGAAGCATTGATACAGGCCAGAGAAGATTAAAGTACATTGTTTTACCTCCATTGCCAGGAGTCACTGGCAATTATTTCCTTCCTTTCAAATATAGGTCAGTAGGTAAGTAGGTAGTAGGCAGATAGATAGATACAAGTATTTGTATTTATATATATATATATATATATATATATATATATATATATACATACACACACATACTGTATATATGTATACATATATACATATATGTGTATGTATATGTATATATGTATATGTATATATATGTATATATATGTATATATATGTATATATATGTATATGTATATATATGTATATATATATACACACACACATACATACTGTATGTGTGTGTGTATTCATTATTATAAATCAAATTCTGTATCTTTTTTGATAAATATAAGCATCTTCTCATGTTATGAATTCATCTTCAAAGATATTTTATTGCATAGAAAATAATCTATTATCATACAGATGTATCATAGTTTGTTTATCCACAAGTACCCTATTGCTGGCCCTATTGCTGGAATTTTAGTTTGTCTGTGATGTTATAAATGATCCTATGATGAATATAATAGGATATTAATTTTCATCTAGCTGCAGTTTTTTTTAGGATAAATGCCTAGACATAGATCCAGTGTGAGCAATTATATGAATATTTGTCAAGGTTCTTGCCCCACGTTGTTAAATTGCTCTCCCCACAGCAGTTTAGGAAGACCCTTCTCACTTCCCACCAGTATTAACTATCTCCCAAAAAATCTTTACTGGCATTAATTTTAATACAATTTAAGCTCTGAGTCACAGTTGTTTTTTATTTTCCTTTCTATTTTTCCTTATTTCTATCTTTTTTGGGCATGAGGAGATCAAAATAGGATTCCTGGTAGAGCTCAAACATACACAAAATGACCAGGAACAGTTAAAAAAGAACATGTAGTTCTAAAAATGTGCATAAGATTGGTCTATATGTTTACACTTAGGAAAATTGTTTTCTTAGGGCCATTTCAGTGACCTTGGGTTAATATTGCTTTTGAATCCCTCATGGTCAACATTGGCTAATTTTGAGCAGAGAAATTCCTAGAACTTATTTAGGCACTAAATACACTTAAAATAATATGGACCATGGGTTAACATTATGTTTTAAGCTACAAAGAAGAACATTTGGATAAAAAGTTTGCCTCCAGCGATACCACAGAAATGGCATGATTTAAATATTTTGATTTGCACTATAAATCATGCTTATTTCATTTAACTATTTTGAAATGAAATCATTTACCCTTTGGAGTATGTTGAAAACATTTTATTTTACTAAAACAGAAAAAATTAAAACTGCTTGAGTCTGTAGGATTTTAGCTGAACTCGTAAAACAAACTCATCCCCACAGTTGTCAAATCAGATAGCTGTTTTATTTCCAATAACATTTGATCTTCATATTTGTCATTTCCTTTGTAGAAATTGTGGATTTATCACCTTTTCCCCACAATGACTTTTTTTTTTTACTTATCTAACCTACTTATAACCTATCCATTTTTAGATATCGTTATTTCAACTTTAAGTATTATCTACAGTGCTAAAATATCTATGATAGTAATATTAAATTCTAGTCCCCCTCTACACGGCCCACGATTGCCATCAGGTTAATGTGGGTACTTTAGACTTTGTTTTATGCATTTGTAAAAATTGGTAATTGTAGAGAAAATGTATTGTTTTGGTCTTTTTTAAATAAAAATTGTATCATAATATACCTACCATGATAACAAAACCTGATTTTTTTTCCCTTTATCAGTGCCTCTTTCCTTTAAATTGATGTCTTATTTTCCATACCACAGATTAGGAGTCCCTCTATACAGAGACGTTGAGTTCACTTCCAATTCTTCCCTGTTAGAAATTTTTTATTTAAGAATACTTTCCAGGGGCACCTCAGCGGCTCACTCAGTTGAGCATCTGACTTCAGCTCACATCATGAATTCACAGGTCATAAGATCGAGTCCCACATTGGGCTCTCTGCTGTCAGCATGGAACCCGCTTCAGATCCTTTGCTCTGCTCTTGCTGCCCCTCTCCTGCTTGTGCTCTCTCTCTTTAAAAAATAAATAAACATTAAGAAAAATAAAAGAATACCTTCCATATCCAAACAGGAAAAAAAAATTATACTATTAGTGTAATACTCTTATAATGTTATGCTTAGATTATAATCATTTGAAATTTGTCTTTATGAATATGAGATATGAGCTAACTTTCTAAACATCTTTCTAAATAAGTAGATAATTCTCCCAAGAACTCATATTAAAAAATGAACCTCTTACTCCATTTATTTAAAATGCCACTTCTATGGTATCTTAAATTAGCATATGCTTTTCTCTATTTTTAAACTCCTCTTCCACTGATGTAGTTATCAATTCCTATCCCACTAATATAATATTTTTTAAAGTTTTTTATTTAATTTTTTTAATGTTCATCCATTTTTGAGAGAGAGCATGAGCAGAGGAGGGACAGAGAGAGGGAGACACAGGATCCAAAGAAGGCTCCAGGCTCTTAGCTGTCAGCACAGAGCTCGACGTGGGACTCTAACTCAAAAACCACAAGATCATTGCCTGAACTGAAGTCAGACGCTCAACCGACTGAGCCACCCAGGCACCCCTATAATATTTTTATTACTATAATCCTATAATATGTTTTATATGTAGCAGTAAAGGCCATCCCTTCATTTTCTTTTATACATTTATCTTGTTGTTTTTTTTTTTTTTTTTCTCAGAGGCCATACTCATCTTCTCTGTATAGTTCTAATTTTAGTATATGTGCTGCCCAAGCAAGCACTGGGTGATTTTTAAATATTCAATCTTCTTTGTGGATTTTAGAACAGGTTTTAAATTTTGGTTAAAAAAATTCTCTTTTTTATTAGTCTTGTGCTAAATTCGTAGTTTGTTTTGAGAGAACAGACATCATTAAATATTAATCCTTCTCATTCATGAACAAAATATTTTTCCCCTTTTATGCCTTCCAGTAAAGTCATCGTAGGATTATTCCCAAGTATTTGATGTGATTATTATATTATAAATAGACCTCTTGTTCTCTTTATTTTCTCATTGGAATAAAAGCTACAGGTTATCATATGGTGAACTTGTATTTGGCCATCTTGATTAAATTCCCTTATCTACCCCACTGAGGTTTTCATATAAATGCTTGTATTATCTGCATATTGTCACAGTTTTATAACTTCCTTTCCAATATTTGAGTTTTCTCTGTTTTGTTACACTGGCTGGGACCTCAAGTTAAAAGTTGAACAGTTTTCTTCTTCTTGTCCATATAAACCTATTTCATCACTAGGGATAGGGCTTGATGAGGGACTTGGGTAGATCCTTTTATAAATCAAGGAAATTACTTTACATATTTTTTATTTTACAAAAAGCTTTTAAAAATTGTTGTAAACATCTTGAATTAATTTAGAATAACTTTTCAAAATCAAATGTGATGATCCAATGATTTTTCCTCCTTTAATATACTAATAGAGTACATTCCACTGAACGAGTTTAGTGGTAAGCCATTTTTGTATTCCCAAGAGAAAGCCCTACTTGGTCATGCTGCATTATTTTTACAGTGCATTGTTGGATTCAATGTGTTACCACTTGGTTATTTTTAAAGTTTCTTTGAGAGGGAGAATGAGGCACGCCTGAGTTGGGGAGAGGCAGAGAGAGAGAATCCCAAATAAGCTCAACCTGGAGAATGTGGAGCCCAAGGCAGGGCTCTACTTCATGAACCGCAGGATCATGACCTGAGCTGAGATCAAGAGTTGGGCACGTAATGAACTGAACCACACACACACACCCATTTTATTATTTATTTATTATTTATTATGATCTGCTTGTTTAAAAAAGAAATTTCCTGTTTCAAGAAGATTTGTCCATGTTCGCTTATAAAATAACCTGTGTCTGGAGCTATTAGTGAGGACCAGTAGGGAGCAAGTCATTATTTCATTACCATTTCAATATCTGTTACTATTTTTTGTCTTTTTAGATTTCCAGGTCTTCTTTTGCCAATTTTAGTAATTTTTAAATCTTGTGTAGATATAATTGAATATAGTCTTATTTTTAAAATCTATGCCTTTTTTCTTAATTGTAATTGTCAAAGGTTTGCCTGTTTCATATGACCTTTCATGGAATTATTTTTATTTTTTGAATTATGTCAATTATTTCAATTTGCTTGATGCATCAATTATATCTATCTTAATTCCTTTCTTGGCTTTATTTTTGTTCTTCTTTTAGATTGTTGGACTGATTGCTTAGTTCTTTGATTTTAAATATAATTTTCCAATAAATACATTTAAGATGAAAAAGTTTTCTCTAAGTACAGCTTTGGCTACATATCACAGGTTTTGATATGTTAGGCTCTAATTTGAATCAATTCTAAACATACTTGTTTCAGTCTTCGCTAATGTTATAACTTTCATTTTCTTCACTTATTTACTTTGCTGATTAGTTACCCTTTTATTCCTTTGATACTCAGGAGAGGTAGAATATTTATTCCCTGAAAATAGAAAAGCCTTGAAGACTAACTAGAGTGATCACACAATGACTAGAGACTGAACAATACACAGCATTTCATTCTTATGAACATGAATCCTTAACCTATTACCTGGAACAAATGTTATACATTTAATGGCCTCTCTTCTTTGAAAAAGACTTAACACACTCCTTTGAGAAAGAAAAGAATAAGAGTCACTTGACACTGGAATTGAATTCAAAGGGGTGACACTAAGCAAGGTCACATTACTATTATTATTATTATTATTATTAACGATTATTTTCATCTATAGGCTTTAGAAAAAGGCTGTTCTGGGGCTTGTGGGTGACTCAGTTCAGCTCAGGTCATGATCTCACAATTTGTGAGTTAGAGCCCCGTGTCAGGCTCTGTGCTGACAGCTCAGAGCCTGGAAACTGCTTCACATTCTGTGTCTCCCTTTCTCTCTGCCCCTCCCCCATTCATGCTCCTTCTCTGCCTCTTAAAAATAAAAATGTTAAAAAATGAAAAAAAAAGAAAGAAAAAGACTTTCTAATTATCTCCAAAGTCCAGTATCATCCATCCGTTTCACTGATTTTTTTGTTTTGTTTTGTTTTGTTTTAGGATATTAATTATTCCCTCCCATAGCCCTGAATGAATACAAAGCCCTAAATTGGTAAGGAAGTCTATTGGACTGGTAGGAAATATTTCTCATTGCCTGGGAAAGGAAGAATTGGTTAGATGGTGTGAAATTCAACCGTGGGACTCATATCTCTGGTAGGTTATGCTGTTTCTAACAAAACCATTGTGCACACTCATATCCTCTTTTACACCACCTTAACACAGAATTCTGCTAATGTAACTTACTAAGGTAAATGTTTCACACAAAACCCAGTTTTGCAGACATTTTATTTTTTGATGTTTTGATTATCACCTTTCACCTCACAGGGTTTTAGAGAGCTAGAAACTTTTTTTTTCTTTTTTTGCAGTGCACAGACTTTCTGTTTCCCTCACTTTTCATATACATTTTTGAAGATGATTGGCTATGAATCTAATCTTGTTAGCACCATGACCTTTCCACCACCAAGTTGTAAGAACTACCTGTTAGACCACTGCATAATACCATTAGGAAGTAAAAGGCATGGGGTATATGAAGTTATCAGGCAAAATAGTATTTGTTCCCTATTGATATATATCTAACAAAACATTATATAAAATACTTTCTACCTGCTTTAAACAGTTTGTATTAATTCTCCTTTTCATTTTAAGATAAATAATATTTACACTTCAATTAAAATTTAACTAAATTTGGCAAGCTGTGGAGGTTCAAAAGTTCGTGAAAGTCCAGAAACCTTCATATTTTACTTGAACACTCATTTTTTAACCTTAGCTGTAAAGCTACTTTGGTCTGGTTATTTCCTACTTAAAATTGCTAACCCTTGTGCATTATAAAGGAATTGATAAAGTAAATATGACATTGGAGTTGTTGATATGACATTTCCCTAAATAAAGAAAGAGAAAGTATGGTTTTTTGCTGGCTTATAAGAATTAAGCAGGCTTAATTTGTAACCTTTAGTGGCCAGTAAAAATTTAAACAAAAAAATGTTCAATGTAAGAGTAAATTCTAGATAAGAAGTAATAGCCATCATTTGACAAATAATAAAGCTCTGACAATGAAATACGAAGAAGTCTAAGGAAAGATATCTATAAGAATTTTTACTATAAATTATATATTTGTATCTACTTTTATTTTATCAGAAAAACAGAGATTCCTGTATTTGATTCTTAATTAGTAATCATTATGGAATATTAAGTTAAAGAGGTATTTTTTTTATTTCCACTTCTATAAAACATTTTGCTCACTTAAATCAAGACAGTAAGTAAAGATCAAAATCCAAATACAGTTTTTGCCATTTCTTGGTCCAAGTTAGAGAACATGATCTTCTTTATCTTAAGGGGAATTTTCAATGTGAAAGCAAATTATCTTCAGCACAATCATGTCCTCTTATCATGGTAAAATTAGCCTTGTTCTGAGGAGAAAGGTTTCTGTGGTATCTTAGGAAACTTTTAAGTATGGATTAAAAAGTCTTAACTTCCTTAATTTAAATACTTCCTCATATTTTTCTATTGTCAACTTACTAATAGAAGTAGTATTTTTCAAAAACTAATTTTATAATTAAAATTTTAGTCCATCTGATCTCTCAACTTGTTTGTTTTGTAAGAGATATCTAAAACCCCACCATGGAAAATAAAATGTGAAAAAGACTTTATTTCTATCCCTGGCATAATGAAATTGGGCTTACGTACAGAAAGTAGTTCAGTTACTTTGGATAAAAAAAGTTTAGGTCTCGCCATGAAGATAGTGCTGTGTCAGTTGAAAAGGTGGTGCTGTTGATGATGGATATCATCTGTACAAGCAGGTGTCACAGGAAAGATGAATGTGGTCATAACAGTCCTTTCCATGATCTTTGTGCATATAGATTGTCCTTTGATTGTTGTGGTTATTATTCACAGTGCCTGGAGCTACTTGTAACCCAGTCCTGGAAATGTGCAATGGCTCCAGTCTTCCCTCTTTTCCTATGGCTGCCTGCCAGCTCGTCTGTAGGCTGCAGTGGTTTCTCCCAGAACTGCATTTCTCTTAAAGCTCACCCCAGAGCAGCAAAAAAAGTGTATTTTTTCTACCTCCAAACTTACGTCTTTTCCTCTTGAGTTCACTAAGCAACCATCTGGACAGGCTGTTGTTATGCATTTACTGCTTTTAGCCATTAAATCAAAAGTGAAGTATTTAGCATTCTTTCACTGATAAATCTAACTTCTTCACAGTGAGTAAATCATGGGAGAGATCACCAATTAATGACAAGCCATTCACTCACTCTGGTAACCTTAAAATCATTCAGTCAACATTTCTGTTTTGTGTTCTTTTTGGATTTAAGTTACTATCTGTGGGAAACCCTCATTCAGGATTGCTAGAATGCAGGAAATTTAGGTTATGGTTTTCTTCCCCCTCCCTTTTTTTCTTACTTTATTTTGGAATAGACCATAAATAATTTGTGATCCATTTACATGATTCCATCTACTTTTTTGAAAATACCTCATCACCAATCCTAAAAGAAAAGCTAGTATTGATTGTATGTGCTAATTGCTTCATATACACTATTTCATGGCAACTCTATGAGGAATGAGTGCTATTATTATGAGTCCTGTTTTGCTAATAGACATGAAGAGGTTAATTAACTACACCAGGTCATATAAATAGTAAGTAATAAAACCAGGCTTTGAACCTACTCGTCTAACCCCAGAGCTTCAGCTCCTTCTCTCTCTTTTTCTCTCTGTCTGTCTCTCTCTCTCTCTCTCTGCCTCTCTCTCTCTCTCTCATTCTCTCATTCTCTCTGTATGTATATAGACAATAAGCTTACTATCTACAAGCAACTCTTCTAATGTTCTATACATATTAACTCAATCTTCATAATAACTTTAAAGTAAGTACAAGTATTATATGTTCTGTATAGATAAGAAAATTGAGGCCTAGAGAGGTTAACTTACTCATGTCAACACAACTGGTAGGTAGACAAACTAGGAGCCCAAGCATTTTAGTTCCAGAATCTGTGTTCTCAACCTCTGTGAAAAATGCTCATGGTAAAAACATGCAAAAATCTCTAGTAATAGAAGTCTACCTGTATGAGGATATACTTGCTGAAATAGAATATGTTATTTTTATTCAAGCATATCTTTGTTTTCCACATCTATTGTCCATATTTATTAATTATCAATTTCCCACAAGTGACAATCCCATGAATATTTATATTTTACAAAAACCACATTATGTTTCAGATTCATCTCAGTTAATCATGATTAATGTTTTTCTAGGCCTTATATTTATATTTGGCTTATTAATTCTAAAAAGGGATCAAGTAAAAAGAGGGGAGATACATGAGAATGGAATTAAGGTGGATAGTAACTTCAGTTCGGGGAAGGTTAAAGAAATCTCAGCTGGAAACATAAAGATGAGTTAAAAACCCAAGGCCTATCCATACCCAGGGTCACATTCAGAGTATTAGGTTCTAACTGATATAAACAAGCCACTGATGACCAAAGAGTTATTCCAAACATAGTCCTCACAATGCTATGATTAATAATACCTCATAATAGTAGGATTAATAATAAACTTGTCATTGTTACTGTGCAGTAGAAAGAAACATCAGTTTCGCCCAGTGTGACCATTTGATTAATGCTTTTCATCTCCTTTCTTAGATAAATTCTGTAATTTCAGACATAGCCTGTTTTAAATGACTAGTATATATTAATCATGAGTATGTGCTCAATGTTGAGCCCAGAGATGCCTCTCAGTAACTACTGAAGGAGTGAATGTATGAATGCAGATATAATAATGACTGATGTTAAAGTGCCCGTAAGCCTGAATATAACCCCTTGTGTATCAGATACAAAGCCTACAGTACCAAGAGTGAGTTTGTCTCACCAGATAATGGGCCAGGGATGCCATTGTGTTTCCTACATTGGTGGAATGGCTGAGTCATGAGTAGAACAAACTGACCATATAGAGTCTGGGGACATTTGTCTGTGTGTACTCCTTGATTCGAACTAAACCAATCACTCTCCCTTTAGTATATTTGACCCAGTGGATCGCCCCTTCCTTCTTGATACCATTTCTTTACTTCCTTTCCAGGACACTCTCCTGAGT